AGGCTAAGAAAGATGTGCGTGTTCAGATAACCCCCCGCGTGTTTTATCACAGCTCAGAGACATGAGGAGAGCTTTTTAAAGCGCCCCCCCGGGCCGCACTATTCATGTGTTGCGCATGAAGGAGCCCTCATTCGTGACCCTTCGCGTAAGTCTCATTTCAAGCCACCAGGGGCCCAACTAACTTTGGCCATTGATCGTCGGGAGCTGAAGTCCTGCTGTGTGCGAGTCGGAGCTGTCAGGTCCTGCTGCAGCAGCAGACCGCTGCTGGCTGGCTGGACTCCGGTTGGTAGAGAGCGGGAATGACGTGAGTACTGACTTTTTTTTGTGGCATGTGTGACTGATGTCACGCAGAAAGGAATGGTAAATCAAACAGTGTCACGTGTTCCTGGAGATGGGGGACTCCAGGTTAGTGTTTCAAAGTCATTCATTTTTTTTCTGTTTGAGAATTTAGAATTCTAAACATGAAATTGTTTTGTTGCCTGAAATTGTTTGAAGCCTTCTCAGCCTGATCATAACCTCTGTATGACATAATATGAACTGTCACTTCAAGTTTCATTATGGCCTTTATTTACTCCTGCTGCCCCAGCAGACGGCTCACCTGAACCTATAGTTCATCTCTAAGCCTGTTTCAGTAAGCAGTTAATTGTATGACAATAAAATGAGCTCAACAATTTTCATTCCCATGATATTTTTTGATGGGTAATTTTGTTTACAGACACATCATTTATTTGTGCTGTCAGTAGTAAATAGTTTTTATCTCAGTTTTCTTTATTGCTTTAGGTTGTGTTTTATTTTTGGACTTTTAAAATGTCTCCCATTTCCAGTGTGGAATGTTCTGTCCTAAATTAAAGTCCATTAGTCTTTGAGAGGGAAAACTTGGGACAATTTATCATCCAGCATTACCACAACAGACCTAACATCCACCAGTTCCTTTGTTTCATTTTGATAATTTTATAAGCATGGATACAGATATTTAAAAAAAACATTTCAAACAAAAATATTGTTTGTGGAATCGAAAAAACCTTGACAGGCAAAAACTTTCAGTATGCTTTTCCTACATTTGCATTACATTTAGCTGCTGTCAGGTGGAAAATAAAGCTGTTGTTATTTCCCACTGTTGCAAGTTGTGGTACTTCTCTTTGTTCACAGTTTCACAAAATTATTTGAAGAACCTTCTCCCCCTGTAATGTAAATGTGACCCTAAAGTGCTTGGTTATCAGACTATCTTTGACAGATGACTTAGAACACGACCCTGAGGTTCCTCTCTCTAAATACCAGTGTTACTGGCTTCATAAACAGATTAATCAAGGCAAACAAATCAAGCAAATGTTTCACAAGTCAAAAACTGCCTGGTGGAAGCAACGATTCAGTCTAGACTTGACTAGTCTATGCATCGTGGTTTTCCTGCATATCTCAATCTAAGGTGGTTCTAACACCCACATACCCAGAAACTATGTTTGTGTGTTTCACAAATATGATAAAGATTTTATGAATCTCAAACTGTGGCTAGCTACAAATACTTTATGAGGTAATTATTAATAAAACTAGTCATTTAGATGGAAATGATCAAGTCAGGGAACCACTTGTTCGAAAAAAATAATAGCACTTAACTCTCAGTTATTGTTTTTAAAGACTTGCCTGATAAGGGTAAGTCAGGGTGTGCTTTGGGAAATTTTAGAATGTTTTTATTTTATGGTTTCCTTTCAGAGGTGCATTCACTGACAAATCTGACATGTGAAACACTGTCAAATTGAATGTGAAAATGGCAGTGGACACCCCATCTGGCCCGAGGTCTCCGGAGCCACAACTTATTGATCTCTTTTCTTTTCTATGAGCCTTTTTGATGATGACTCCTTTGGTATCCAGAGTCAGAGAATGACAGGAATTCTGAGTACAGCTTATCGATGCAGCTCACCTTGAAGTGCTTTTGTTGTTTTCTGGTGTTTCAATTTCAACAGTCACCATTAGTGGAAAAGAAATAGATTTTACCATTCTGGTTATGAGAATAAAAAAAAAACTAAGAAAATCTGTAGAAGAATGAAAATTGGTTTAGTGTGATGGTAAACCAGGGTTTCATTCTGAGCCTTTTCATAAGGAGTTGAAAGAGGCGCTTCTTAAACTATGGGTCATCATTTACAAGGGTCATCGGACTCCGGGTAATGACTGCTGATGACCTTCAGGGTATCTTGATCTTGACCATTTCTGCTCCTTTGATTACTCCTTTTATTCAGACTTTTCTGGCTTGAAGAATCCTTCACCTCACAGAAACTGAGCATTTTAATAGTTTCAATATCATCAGGCGTAGCTCTGTAATTTCTTTTCCACCATAGAATTCAGAATGAGAAAAATGAAACACACTCTGTAGGATTCCTCCATTCATCAAGAATCCCACTTAGAGCAACAAAAACACAAAGAAGCTGTTTTCACTTCATTCCATTATGCCCCTGCTGTGCAAAGTACTAAATAATAAATATGTTTTACCTGCAAAAACAGTTTTAATTTGATATTCATTAGGTCTGATTAGTGGGAGCAGGAAACTATTTTCTTCTTTGTGAGTTTCTCTTTTGAAGTTCTACAGATGTACAGCTGAAGCTGCAGCAGCAGCTGAAGCTGCAGCAGCAGCAGCTGAAGCAGCAGCAGCAGCAGCTGAAGCAGCAGCAGCAGCAGCTGAAGCAGCAGCAGCAGCAGCTGAAGCAGCAGCAGAAGCAGCAGCAGCAGCTGAAGCAGCAGCAGCAGCAGCTGAAGCAGCAGCAGCAGCAGCTGAAACAGCAGCAGCAGCTGAAACAGCAGCAGCAGCAGCAGCAGCAGCTGTGCTGCTGGGCCCTGGGATTCCAGGAAATAAATATGAAGCTATATATAAATTTAAGGGATGCAGTTCCAAAAGTTCTTTTTGTTTGTGACTGGTTTTGAAGAGAGCATGTCCCCTGGAGACAAAGCGATTCATCGGATTAACAATGATGAATCAGTTATTGAAATAATCACTAACTGATTCAGTAGTTGATCAACTGTTAGCTCAGTTATGAAGCCACAAAATGAAAGACCAGTGAAGCCAAAACTGTGCAGAAAACATATACAGTTTGCATTTAGCACTAAAAAAAAGTCTTTGTAAATATGTTCTAGTCAGTCTTTTAGTCACCTGGATCAAATTCTACAAAATCAATAACTATAATTAAGCACCTTTTGCCAGTTTGCTATTTAAATAGCAAAAGGTGATCAGAAAAATAAAAAGATAGACAGATTACCCACACACTGATTTGTTGAGAAGTCAAGCAGAGATGACCTCCCCACATGTTGATGTCAGAAGTACTTTTTAGATGCGTCGTCTGCTCCAATAATCAAAGTAAAGCTGTTCCTGCATTTCAGTCAATTTTTGTTATCCGATTAATCATCAGAATAATTAATTACTAAAACAATTGTCAGTCGCAACCTTACGATGCATTTTTAATGCAGGTAAAAAGATGCAAACTTGGAAAAAACAACATGAAACTTTTGTAAGGATGCATAAATAAACTGGTCATCGATGAAAACCCTGTTCTTTTTTTTCTGCCGTTAGTAATCTGGATAAAACCTGAGAACTTTTCCGTACTATCAGAGCTTAAACAGTCTGTGATGCTGTTTGTTATGAGCATAGTAAAAATTTTACTTCTATGAAATGTGTGGCACTTTTTTAAAAATTATTTTTGGAATCAGTGTTTGCCATATTCCCAGGAAGAAAAGCGAAAACCTGCATCTGCCAGCATAAGCCCACGAACCTTATTTTAAAATTTCCAAATCTGCAGAAACGTCAGGTTTATCTGGATCAGGCAGTTATTATGGGCTGAGTCTCTGATTGTCTTTGCGCAGCAGGAGGTGACAGCATGGCAGAACGATAAAAGCCACGCGATCCAACAGACTCCACATGTACAATGAAAAGGCAGGCGCTCTCCCTCTGTACGCTGCAACCTAAATACATCACAACAACCAGTCCAACTTCATGAAGCAACTTTTCAGAGTGTTCATCCACAGAAGAAGCATCTCTGACAAACACCATGACTGCACCCCATCATCCTCTACAGCAGCAGGAGAACACAGCTGGAGAGTTAGCAGCACATAATACTGATGTATTTAGGCAGATTAGCCAATTTTACATTCACTACATCAGGAGCAAAGAACCAAGAAGGTTTTGTTGTCATTCAGCTCACAGAATTACAGAAAAAATCATCTTGGTTTTATTTCAGTGCTGCAGCTCAAAATCCAGCTTTAAATCAGAACTGTTGGAGTCTTTTCTTTCTTTTTTCTTTTTCTTTTTTTTTTGAGTGAAAAATGCAGCAACACGGTGTGTAGAGGAGCTGAGCTTCACCACCGTTAGTGTGAACCTGCATGCAGATCGTTTGCAAAAAAAGGCTTCATGTTTCATCTGCAGCAAACGTCCTTTAAAGGAAGCACTGAAGGCGCATCTTGATCCTCTTGACATTGTATGTTTTTTTGTTGCGTAAATCTTTTTTTTTTTTTTCTAACAACCACTTCTTTTTTTCTGGACAGATTATTTAAAAAAAAACAAAAAAACTAAAAAAACGCACCATGCCTGTTGCACAGGCGTGCCTGCATCCCGCCGCTCTCCTCCACGCAGCCTGCTCTCCATCTGATGGATTTATTTCAGAATAAGTGAAATAGGAGAATCAGCAGCGACCCCAGTGACAGACACGCAGCTCCAGCGACTGGCAGCGGAAGTTTTTAGCTTTATGATTCAATAAGCTCCCCATCCTATATGGGGGGATCAGAACGAGCTACTGCAGCGCAAAGCAAAGCTAAAATAAAAAAAATAAATAAAATAAAATAAAAAACGAGAACGCATTCTGGTGATTGCGTGTGCGCTTTGGAGTATTTACAACGCCCACGGATCAATAACGTAACGTTTTCATTCAGGCGACAAGTGGTGCGCAACCACGAGGGTTGGCACGCAGAAAACAGTCAGTGAGCGCAAAGTAACCATGCGTGCTTCATGGAGAGGAATCTCCTACCTTTGGAGGTGACTGATGCCGGCCAGCAAAACCCACACAGGAGGCCCACGGCGAAGAGAAAGCGTCCTTTGGTCCGCGCATCCATAGCTCCCCACTGATGCGCTATAGAGGTGACGGCTCTCCGGAACCCTCGCGTCTCCCTTCGCCTCCTCCGGCTGCCGCTCCGGATTCCTTGCGTAAAGCGGGCGCAGAGGCAGCGTGACGGGCTGGCAGCAGAAAAACAGACTGGGGGACAAGAGGACGGCTGGCGGACTGGGCTGCCGGTCGAGGGGGGACAAGCATCTTCACTCCACTTTCGCCGTGCGTGCAGTGTGCGCGCAGCGGGAGAGACGTGCGCTCTCTGTTTTACTCCCCCCTTTCAAAGCATCATCAGCACCGGAGCCTGCTGCGCTCCGACCAATGGCAGCGGGAGGAGGAGAGAGGAGGAGAGGTGGGCTCCGATCGCTCCAACACCTCTTCTTCTTCTTCTACTTATTGTTCTTCTTACTGTAATGCAGCAGGCAGCGGTCCGCCGCTCCGGTCAGGCAAAGAACAAAACACAACAGCTGACTTTCACTGGAGGTTGTTTGATTAACAAAAATAAATAAATCATAACTCAGAGGAGGAGACACTGATGACCTGAACTTGACCGGGTTGATTCTATCCGAGGCAGCTGCAGCTTAGGGTTCAGAGGTCAGCAGTGGCACTTGATTTTTAAAGCAGAGCAGAGATTCTGCTTTAAAAATCTAATTCACTGAGAAAAGTGCTACAATTAACTCCTACATGTTTTCTGAATGTGTTGAAGAATAGAAAATGATGTGTGTTCTGCTGCTTTGTGTCAATTAACTATTCCTAAGCCAGAAGTTTATTTCCTTTTTATTAAATTAATAATGACAGATCACACCCTGGCTTGATTAATGCCTGAAACATGGGCTGGAGAAACAGATCAATGGAGCCTCTTGGACTCTAAAACAGGAAGAAAAAAATCAGAACGGGTGAGAAACAAAGTTAATCTGGAAAGAGACACTAAGTCATAAGGCCACGTAATCCTTAAGGCTTTGTGACTTATTAGTATTATTATTATATTATATATATTTTTTTGTAAAACACATTTCTAAAGTAATGGCCTAAGGTGTATTTTTTTTGCCATTGGGAAAATAAATAAATAAACAAACACATTGAGATGCAGTGATGGTACAATTACTTGAAAAAGTAAAAGTTATTTTACTGGCTACTTGATTTTAGTCACGTTTCATGCAGTGACGGTGGATCAAAAAGCAGTAACGCAGAGGTGTTGAATGGATGCCAGAATTAAAGAAAAAAAAAAGCATACAAAAAGGATGGGAACACAGGGAGCCAGAGGAGAACAACAACTGAAAATCCAAGGGAAAATACAGCAGGGAAGAGACAGGAAAATAACAAGAGGAACCAGTGAGAAAAGAGGAAGAGGTGTATAAATACTGGGAGAGAGAAGACTGAAACAAACTAAGTGGGCATCCAACCATTTCAGCATATCAGTTTTCTCCTTGTAGGCCCTTTGCTAGTACTAGTATTTCTTACTTCCATCGTTTTATTCCACAGAAATGTCAAAAAACTGAAAAAAAAGACAAATAAAAATATTTAGTGTTGTTTTACAAGTGTGCTCTTAAAAACTGCAGTGCTGTTTTTAAGCTCAACCCACTCTGCGTTGACAGACATAAACATCCATAAAACACATTGCACTGTGCATGTGAACCTTAGCATTAGCAGTTAGCGCTAGCTAACTGCTAATTAGGACTTCTAAAGCTAGTGCTAACTGCTAATGCTAACTAACATATAAACCACTAGTCTGGTCTCCTGCTATGTTAATTCCCATCAAAAAGCAATTGAAGCTAGCAATGCATGAGTCTGGTTAAAACCATTTATACTTTGCTAAACACTGTTTTGTGGGAACCAGAGCCAAATGTTTTTTATCAATAAATAAACTGAACAACATATTTTGTTACTTACAGATTTTGTGAACTGAACATCAGTAGGGAAAGCGGAGGTCTGTCATACCCACTGTGCTGGAACGTTCTGTTTTCACATGCACCACTAGAGGGGGCTATGCATCCCAATCCAGAAACCTGCATTTAAAGCTACACACACGTCATCCATACCAGCAAACCCCAGGCTGGGATTCAAACCCATGACCTTCTTGCTGAAAAAGGCAACAGTGCAACTAACTGCACTACTAACTGGGTGAAGCTCTGACACTGAATGCAGCGTTAATTTCTGTTAGTTGGCTTCACTGTCATACTTTAGACATTGCATAAAAAACAGCACTTCCACAAAAAAACCCTTAAAATGATCAGGTTTCTCTGCTTTTACTTTTCATAGGTATATTTTTGAGTAAAATAAACATTGTTCTTTTACTCTATCAACTACTGACAACAACTCGGAAACTCCAAGCAAGAATTTAGTATTTATTTGCAGAAAATGAGAAATGGGGGCGTACTGTGGTGGCGCAGGGGTTTTGCACGCCCCACGTTTGGAGGCTTCAGTTCTCGACGCAGACGTCGTGGGTTTGACTCCCGGTCCCAGCGACCTTTGCCGCATGTCTTCCCCCCTCTCCTCGCCCTCTTTCCTGTCTGCCTACTGTCAAAAATACAAGCCACTAGCGCTGCAAAAACTCTTTGGAGAAAAAAATGTTAAAAGAGAAACGGTCCAAATACTAAAAAACATGCAAGAAGAAACAGGTTTCAGACCTCAAATAATGCAAAGAAAACAAGTTCATATTCATTTAGAAACAACATTATGAATCTTTTAACTCAGGAAGAGTGCAGAAATTAATATTTGGTGAAAAAACCAGGAGCTTCAGTGTACTGGGCTCTTCATTTTTTCCTGGTATATACATATATATATAATATGAATACACATCTGTGACTCTAATATCATGATGCTTCCCCAGAGAGTTACTTTGATGGGGTCTGCTATATGAAACATGCGACACCGCCTAATTTAATTCACTTGATAACTGATACACTGCTGGTAATGACCAGGATGATTCCCTGGGTGTCTGTTTGAGGAGCAGGAGAACATGTGGCGTTGTGCCGCAGAAAAATACCCAGAAACATGCTCAAATATCCAACCTGCAGCCTTCTAAGGTTCCCTGGCTTATCTCTCAGCCATTTGATCAAACTCATATGAGGCTCTGATGTTTGCAAAACACAGGAGCAGGTTACATTCAAGCACAATGTCTGTCCTGTGAAAAAAAAAGAAATCACATCCCATTCCACTGGCTCCTGTGCTGCTGTGCCAACACTATAACAGGAAAGTATGAATCATTGGGCTCATTTACATGTGAAGCAGGTGCTGGGTGAGGACACACTCTGGATCTGCATTTGATACGTTTAATCACAGATGAATAATTCTGATCAAACCGTCATGTTCGGGTTGGCTTCCCATATATCTGCTTTGTTTTCAAAATCCCAACAAGGCCGTGATCCACCTGCACAGGTGTTAAATGAATTTGATTTAAATGACATTCATTTATCCAAAATGTCCAACAAGTCAACAGCATATTGGGAGATAACAGGTTGAAGTCGAGGCTAGCATGGGCTGATATGCGGATATTAATAAATGTATACATAACCTCACTTAAATTTTCCATAAATTTTAGCTGTTAATTGAAATAAAAATGTGTGACAGTTTTCAAATATTTTTTTTTTCTTTTGCAAATAAAACTCAAACTTGTCACAAATTATTTAATTCCTCCCACTTAGTTAATACTTTTTGGAATCACCATTCACTGCAATTACATCTCAGTTTGTTTTCCGGTTTGAAACCAACTGATTTTCTGTTCTATAGGACTGGGCTTTGACTAGATCATGAATCTGCAGAGAGCCATTTTCCCCTCATTTCAGGAAAATAAAAGTCAGCAGATATTACCTGATCTTCTGGAAAAAAGATGACTTGTTATTTTTGATTATCGTCTATTACAGAGAATTTGTTCCGATTTGTACAGAACCATATTTTTCTAAATTGTTTAACGTCTTGAAGAAAGGGAAAAATGCAACATTTACAGAAAACATAAAAGGATAAATCACAACATACAAAAGCAGATAGTTTTCAACTAAATGACAAGAAAAGTGTATTATATCTACATTGAGAAATTTTTGTTGGTTCTTTATCTTAAGTTATGAAGAACCACTGGGGAAAGTCTCAACAGCCAATTGTAAGTGTCTAAACTTCAAGTTTCAGGTCCTTGGACTAGGCCATTCCAAGACATGATTTTGTATTGATTTTAACCACTTTCAGGAACAAAGCATGCATCACTTTCCTTCTATTTCATTGTTATGTATTAGTTTGTGTTGTTCTATTACAAGGAAACAGACTGAAGCTCCTCGTTGTAATGTGACAACATCAATAGTTTCACTTTTACTCATTTTTGATCAGGGAAGTAAGCGATCGATCCAGGGAACTATAGGGGACTCACTATATCTGAATAAAAGTTCAATGGGCTCAATAGACAGGAAGTTATAAGTTCACAGGATGGGACTCAAACTCAAAAGCTATGAGGACATTATTCCGTCAAAGTAGTAATAATAAAAAAAGGAAATAGAGCGTACATCACTGTAATTATTTCACCTTCACATGAAGTGATTAGACCTCCTCAGCTGGAACCTGTCCTGACATTTTGGTGTTTGGTTTTAGTCACTGAGGGGAAGTGGCAGGGGAAAGACGTGAGGATAATGTAAAAGCATAAATGGATTATCTTCACAGAAAACTGTCAAGGTTGTATAATATCATGGCGTTCTATTAGTATCACGAACAGAATGAGATCCGTAATGGACGGTGGATTGTGGGGGAAAGTCTCAGTGTGATGCTTTGTTCCTTCGCTGTGAAGTCCAGCTGAGGTTTGGAGCTGCAGGTCAGAACCCAGAACTGGTCGCCAGTCCTTCTCCACCTGACTGGTAACCTCTCTGGTAACCGCAGGAACTCGGCATTGTTTCCTGTATTTTTCCACAAGCCAACGCTTCTTATCTCCTTAAAATTGAAGTCATGTTAATTGTCTTTGCAAATACTATTTGAAGTTCAGAGCACAATATGCTTACATGATAACGTACAACATACTGATATAATAAAATAAAGTCATGCACTCTCATGCATATTTTTTGAATGCCCTGCCAAAAGATGCAATGGTTATAGTTTAATAAATGTGAAAAATTGTTTATATAACCTGCAGTGTTTAACTTTTATATATATAAAAATATATTTTTTTACATATTTGTTGAAACTGTCATTATGTTGTGACATTATTAGCATGTTCATGAGACAAATAATCTGTGGAAAAAAGTCAAGCCCCTCGACCTTCTCCCAATGCTCCCAATG